TAAACTAACTATATATATATATATATATATATATATAAAATATTTATATTTTAGATCACGTCTCTGTCTTCGATTTTACCAAATATAATTTTGAATTACAAAACAATGATCCAACAGCGTTCTCATATCGTAGTTAGTATTTATTCAGTAACATTCGTTTGTAATACTGTGTGGACATGGCAACTCAAAGAGATCCAGATGATGATCTAGCATCTTTATCTTATATTAAAAGAAATATTATTGCAACATGCAATATTTGTAAGAAAAAGTTTTACGGTCCTTGTCGGAAGGAATTAATGAAGACGCACATTAGTAATCATAGAATTGGTGATAAAATTACATTCTTGAATTATCGAGAAATTTTTTTACGTCGTTATTTCACACAAGAAGCATTTGTTGAAAAATGCAAAATTTGTAATGCAAGAATTAATTTAGCACGTCCTAGGTTAGCTAAAGAGCTTCATCTACGTAGACATCAAAATATAATATCAAAGATACGAGAAGAAATTAAACAAAGCTGGGTATCACAACATTTCATGTTCGACAAGGATTTAGCAGATTATAAGACAAAATGTATTAATTGCGGTTGTGTTTTTGTCATATTTCTCGGAACGGATGGCTTAGAAGAACATTTGCGTACGTTTCATAATATAATTAATGAGCATTCAAGAGCTAGTACAAGTACAGAAAATAACTTAGATACTAACTCGATAAATCAACAGCTGAAGAAATCGCAAGTATAAGTTATCAACAAGCTAATACAGATTCGCAAATTCCAAAAAACAAAAGAGAACATGATGGTAAATATTAACCTTTGTTAAATTGCTATATGTTTTTATAACAAGCGCATAAAAAGTTGGATCTAGTATCGGATCTATTTGTTTATTATAAAAATTATAAAAATTTGTGCTTAATATTAAAGAAATGTAGATTACATATGTTACAATATAATTAACAATACTCATTTAAAATTTATGATAAAATTTGGAATTTATGTTATTTACTTTATTATTATTGAATTTACTTATTATATTATATTGTATTATGTATTGTACTATATTTATTATATTCAATACTCAATATTCAATATTCGCTAATAAACAAAAATTCCCATATGCATGTAATTGATGAAGCATGCTCAAATTCAAATAATATTTGCATTTAAGCATTTAGTTCTTCAGATATTTGCATATTAAAGGTTCTTAATTTCAGTAATAATACAATAATATGTCTGATTAATATATTTTTTCTATTTAATTATTTTGTACATATATTCAGATTCAACTGACGACGAATGAGTGATGACTGATGATTAACATAAATTTAATTATGGATTCTGTACGTACTATTTACGTATTACAATGGACCGCTTGACTCTCTTGATTCTGATATAATACAAGCAGGAATATGCCAATTTTTGAAAAGAAAATATTTTTGTAACATAAAACGATTTTACAATTTTTAAACATCAACTTTTTTACAAACACAAACATTATGAAAAGTTTCTTCTATAATATGATATAGTCAATATTAATGAATATTTAAATTATTATGTTATTAAACGTATTTATTAAAAATTATATATTAATATACAATTTTTTAATTATACAATTTTTTTAAACTTTTTTTTTATATAACATATTAAGATTGTAATAGATAGTATTTTAATGATAGTATTCAAATGATGTAATAATTATTACCAGATAGATAATTAAGTGTTGCAATTATCTGAATAATTTAAAAATGAATATTTGTAAATTAAAATTTAAAACTAGTTCATTACAAAGAAATAGAAAATAGCATAGCATATGAAATTTATGTAAATGTTAAAAAGAATTTGAATAAATTAATAATTTTTTCGATAAATTATAAATTCTAAATTATAAATTATAAATTTTTTTAATAATATCAATAAATTATTAATTTTTTTAGATATTTCAATATTCAAATATTCATATTTGAATTATATTTATTGCTGTAATCTATAAATATTATTTCAAATTTTAATATAATAATATGGAAAACAATTTAATAATATAAAAAACAAATATATAATAATACTTTTAAACAATAATTTTGAAATTAGATTTAATTAAAGCTATTTATTGACATCGCACTTTGTGCGTTCAGATTTATTAAATTTATCAATTTGATATGTATCTTTAATTCTAATTCTTAATATAAAAAAATTAAAATATCAAAATTAATTAAAATTATTATTATAATCTAGACTTTTATAATTTTCATGAATAATATAAAAACTACAAAATAAAAAGAGTATTATAAAAAGTAAGAATAAAGCTGTCTGAATTTAAACTATTTCTTATTTTTAAATTAATGATATTTAATTAATGATTTTAATTTATTATGGACAAGTATATAATTTAATTAAAATTTCCAACTAGATAATTAAATAACTAAAAGAACAACTTTTGAACCGATTCAAACTATATTTAATATTTACATTTTAAAAAAAGATCTTTATCCTCATCTTTTTTTGACTTTGTCAGTCAGAGTTTTCTAATATTGTTTCATAATTAGTATCTATTTAATAAAACATTTGCTTTCTAATATTGCGTGAATTTAATATCAATGCAGAGGAATATTGATTCAATATTCTTATCTTGTATTGCAATAAATCCTTTTTACTAGTGCAAGTTGGCGATTTTCATCTTTTTTATATAAATATTTCACATTCAACAGAAGATTAAATAATTATAATAAATAAGAAAAAAATTAGATATCTGGGGTTCGTTTATTAAAAATTATGAAAATTTATGTTTAATATTAAGCAAATGTTACGCATGTCACAATTATAGTTAAATACGTGCTCGCTACCGAATTCGTTTACTCCGCGCGATTATTCGCATAATTTAAGCGGGTCTTGAATTGTAATTTTCATCAACCCGGCCATTGTCTATCGCACCGCCTATTTGCAGGACATTGTCGACCATCGCACGGATGATGATAATACACCGTAGTCGTTTCTCCATTGGTGGAGTTTTATTCTCGCCAAATTTCAGCATCGTAAAGCCGATACGTTGGAAGTAGAACGCCGGCGTAGATATCGGCGAGTTCTCTTTCGGTGGCGGCGGACCATAAATATAAACATGAATAAATGCAGCGCATTCGATCCGCGATTGTCCGCGCATTGCTCTCTCCGATATCTCCGGCATTTCATCCGGCATTTCGAACGACGTTTCTTTCTCGATTTCTCCTCACGAAAACGGAGGCTACGAAATTCGCGCGAATCTGAGAAGACGGCAGACGCACTTGATGCGTGCCGTTAAAATTTAAATGTAATGTTGGTTAAGACGGCAAGTCGACTGTGTCCAACAGTGATATCCGGCAAGATCACGCACGAGAAGATAGGCCGATGAGCCTCGCCGAACGTGGAATTGCTCGGGGAATTCGTCGGGCGGATATTACAGAGCCAACGGAGTTCTCGCATTTTTCTCATTTTCCGCACATCGCAAGAACATACGCACGCCACCGAGAATGTCTACGTAGTGGGGTCGACGTGCATTCAAAATATGACCCTTTATTAAGATAGTAGATGCAGCACACACATGGTGCTCCCCAATCTCGCGCGCCACATAAGCGCTTCAGGAATGAAAATTTACTTTAACAGGGGACTTTATTCCCAGATTTATTACAGGAATGTTCAGAGAGAAGGTTGAATGTCAAAAAGTTATATTAAAGAAATTGGTGTTCGGACAAACTTTTCGCCGAGGTGAAAATCGCGTTCAAATCAAGATGAATTTAAAGACGTGGGAATTTGTAATGATGAAAATTGTGCGAGGAATCCGCGACAACTTATCATAAATCGATTTCCGCATAGCGTTGAAAGTACGTCCAAGTACGCACGTTTGAATGAATGGGATTCTTAGAAATTCTGTTCTACATTCTACATTCGAGAGAAGTTGAAGAGAAAATTGTCATTAATGGAAGTTTTGCGTTAAAATAGTGAGTGAAAAAATGGTAATGTTGAAATAGTAAGGAGTTGTTGGAAGAAACAAAACCAGGAAACAAACTCCAGGATCAGACTCCTCGTCGTTCGAATCGACAGGCTCTTCGGTCGTATATTTCCGCCACGCACTTTTGAAACCAGGCGTGAAGTCCAATTTCGTTGGGTGTCCCGTGGGAATACACATCATGCTGACGTACTCGGTTACCGCAGTCACATACCTCGAAAATCACTGTTGACTGATGCCACTGGCACGAAAAAAAAAAAGTATTCCGACGGAGGAGGTCAACTCTGTCCCGGTTTCTCTTCTCCCTTTGGCGAGTTCCCTTGACGGATTTTCCACGTTTCGCCAACAAATGCGACGGGCAAATCCTATCAAATTTCGTGGTTATACGAGAAATGACAGATCCTTCCAGCCGAGAGAGCGATTGTGTGATCAATCTATCGATTATTATCACACAACTAAAGTATATTAATCACACCTAAAGTATACTAATAGTTGATATAGTTATTGTTTTCTCAGACTGATAGCATAACGAATATTGTACGTTATATAATTTATGGAGAAAATATATATCTTAATAGAATTTATAAAAAGTAATAAACAAAAATTTATTTTTTATGTTACAAATCTTTGCTATATATTACGTAACGTATTTATAATATATTAATGTTATATGTTGTAACGTTGAGAGAGCGACGTTAATTAGATCTAAATTACGTGGGTACCGCGAGATCCTAACATGAACTGTCTAAATCACTTGCCGGAAATGTCAGGAGTAGTGTGTTAGATGTCTGTGCTAAGTAGAATGCTTTGTCTGATATGTAACAATAGTTTCGGTTGTAGAGATCAATGTAGACATAGCTTGCATCGTTTCTTATTAGCAAAGCTTATTAGCAAAGTCTTCAAAGCTTACATCATGTTAAAATTATTTCATGTTTATCGGATTAATTGGCAACTAAGTTATATATACGTAAAATATAAATAATTTGCAATATTGAATAATCATTATTTTCTATTTTAAATTAATTATTAAAGGATTAAAAGGAACAGAAATGTAGCGTTAAAACGAGAAACTTTTCATTATGTGATCAGTTATATATAAAATAATCAATTTAATAAAATTTTATGGAGTTGAATAAAGCATATTCAAGAAAGTATTTCATTTTAAACGCGATGAAGTCATTGTTGGAATATGCATGGTGAGCAAGCTAAAATTCATTACTTGAACAAAATGGAGCATTTCGCGCAGGCAACGATCGCATACGATTGCTCCCGATTAAACAGTTTAATCGAGAGCAATATGATTTGTAATTGTAGGAACGTAAAATTTCATCTCGAGCAGCTGAGAATGCGGCGGAATTTTCTCTTTTTGCAGACACGGACAAGAAAAAAAAAGAAGAGAGTTAAGCTCAATGCCGATCGAGGACGTTCCGCGGATTATCAGATATTGGAAACTCTTTAGGATTAGACTCGATCAAGAAGACTGTTACCAAGTCATCGGAGTGACTTAACTCACAGACAAGGAAAAGTCGGCCTGATGCGTTTTCGATCGTCCATCGACGCGCACGTGACGGCAATTCCATAATACGTCAAGTCTAGAGCTAATACCCGAAGATGTGAGACGACTTTTCGATTTTATGGTCGGGCTCCGCCACGAGAACGATTAATTTTCCAGCCTAGGCATTCTCTCGTAACCATTGAGCCCTGTTGCGTAGGTAGGCGGAAATGAAAAGAGAAGGCGTCTATCGAGTTCTTTTCGCGGACGATCGGCAAGTCACATTTTCTCCTTACTGAACGCCTACTTTCGCTGTCTAATCGCTGTCAGTCTCAACAGTCTCGAGGCATTATCCTGCTATTTTAGTAAAATTATAAAAAAAAATAACAGAGAGAAATAAGCTAACGAAGACCGTCTTCGGGGATTCTCAACGGGATGCCTGAGGAAGAAAAAGAAACGAGGAGCCGAGGGGACTCTTGCTGGGCGAATGCATCGTTCCGTTCTCGCGCTGGATAAGTACGACGGTAACAATGGTCGCTGGCAGCGGCCTGATTCATGGCGGCGAACTTTTTCAGCAAACAACGCATCCGGGATGTAATAAACAATGGGACCCCGGGCACGTGGACTAAACCGGCCCGGGAATATTTTAGCGTGCGGCACTCACTCCTCGCACGAAGCTGCCCCGTAACTTCGCCTCTCGTATTATGGCGGGACCGATGGTATGCGCTTCGGTCATGTGTATCGCCTACGCTCGCGACGCGCGGGAATCCTGGAGAAATGAAGCTGAAAATGTCGCGCGGGCCATGATTTACTGGACGACGTATCGCCGGGCGAGAGCGAATGCTCACATTTCGCCAGTGGTCGCCATCGTTAACGATAAATCATGGTAAAATAACGGGGAAATAACATAATCACTAGCGCCGCGCTGAAGGCATGCGACTCGCTCGATTTTATCGAAAATTCATGTTCGTTGATAACGCGGCGTGTCGTTCAAGCGCGCGGCATGTCGGAGTCGAAGGAGAAAAATACGCGGAGTTAAATGCGCGTTGGATTCATTTCTAATTAAACGCGTGGATTACGAATTCACAAATTGCGTTG